AAATACTATTTCTGAGTTCAAACTGCAAAACCATTTATTACAGAATGGAGAGCCACCTTACATGCGTTTTATTTGAACTTAACCTACGACTCTGAGGACTGTAGCTAAGAGTTGTCCTTGAAATTGTTAACTATTAGATTATCTTTTTCTCATGATACATATACCACATGTACCTAAAACGACAATCGCCATTTAGGCACTTTCTGAAATCGGCTCATTTTATGTTTAGTAACTCATGAATGTATATAAATATATTTATATATTTATATATATTTCATTAGTCTCTATGTCTATATTACTTTAGAATATACAATGTTCTGATATAATACTATACTACATATTATTTATATAAATAAGTATGAAGTGAAGCTGGGTTTAGAGGAAGCCCTTGTTTGTTTATTCTGGGATAATTTATCATTGTGAATATAAAGTTTATTAGAAGAAATTCGCTAATTAGTCTCATCAGCAAACGATAATGAGCTACTTTGAATTATGGACATTTGCCTTACTGTGTTACTTCATAGACGAAGGAAAATTTAGAGATAGTTGGAATCAACCACTGCCGTGCATTGACGGTTTTACCCGCAAACTGTCGCCTCAAGGCCTGTTCTGACCCCAGCCGGAAAAGCCGACTATCTTTGAAGACACCAGAACGAACCTGCATAAAGACATTCCGCACATGTCACAACTTTCTGATCACTTTTGATATGACAGTAGGCGAGCACGGATTGATACTTTCAGACTTTTTTCGACTTTTTATGGCCTCCATAGTGTTCGGCTATATGTAACTGTATACTAACTTAAAAAATTGAATGCTATTTTTATAACTTTTCTATCATTTTTTTTCATTTGTATTATAATTGGCTGGATCTTGCCTATACACTCAAATTATATCTGGAATGTTTACTTTGTAAATCTCTGCAAAGGATTCTTTTCTGGCTTAAAAATTGAATTATGTACTTCGGAATTACTCTCATCGGAACTTTGCGAATAATTCCCGACAGTCATTGATATTAATTACACTTTTTTGATACCCATCGTTACAAGTTAACTTGACAATTTTCGTTAGGCATACAATAATGCATCTATCTCTTTAATGGCTTTGTCTTTTATCCTGTGAATGACACCAGAGAGTAGTTTTTATTAACAACAACTTTTAGTTGTGTTAAAATGTCTTCAAATTATACTGTTTCCACACACAACATTTCTTGTCAATATGCTCAAATCTAGCTTTGACATTATCTGTATCTGAATGCTCTTGAATGCGGTTCTGGCTCATATAGCAAAAGATGGATGTGCGTCTTGTACAATGATAATTAATAATTAGATTAACTCATCTTTACTTGAAATTATATCGAATATTCTTGTGCCTAAATTCAACAGTATGTGATGGGCAAGTAACAAAGTGTAGTATCTGTGGGACAGAATGTAATGAAGTCTACTTGCTTGTTATAAAATGCAAATTGAGCCAATTTAGTCAACTTGCAAAACGCGCAGTTGAGTATACACTTGAAAGAAGCCTAACTAAAATCTAATTATTATATCTGCACACTTTCAGTTCTCGAATCATTGTCGCAATGCCAAAAAATATAGCCTTAAGAGTACTGTTGCTGGAGGTCAAACGGAAGGACAAAAAGGTGTGTATAAATTATCCTTAGTTGATAATGAATCGCCTTTTCAGTATCCCTCATGCCAAGTCTGTTTGAGGAATAGGCTTTCTTCTTCACGCGCCAAATCTGTAAACATGACGAATTTTAAAAATGGGCTTTTTGGGTCGGAAAAATATTTGCTTTTAGGCACAGTTTTATTTTTGGTGGTCTATTGTCAATTTCTGCCTACTATACTAGCATCCAGGGGCAGGCCGAAAAGCAACGTGCCAGACTTGGCTTTCTCTTTGCTCTTCCGAAACCAACGCAACCACCGTGAATATGCTCCACTCTGGCCAAATTTCAATGCAAGTGGTCATTGGGCCAACCAAATTGTCAGACTGACCTACCAGTATCCACATGTCCTCCAGCGACCAATTGAGGAAGTAAAGCTTTTGAAGCTTAACAGTAAAGTTGACAAAAAGCTGGAGCAAATCTTCACAACGGTCGGTGATAAGAGCTCTGATGATACTCGAAAAGAATACTTTACTGCAGGAAGTCTTTATGTGAGGACCTACCTAGCCAAAGTGCTAGCTTCTTTCAATAGCTAGTAGTAAAATTAAATACAACTGAATATTTCAGTATCTTGATTAAAAGGGAGAGTATCTCCATGTTAACCGCGAGATTTTCTTTTCTTTAATTTTGTTTGAATCCAATAAAACCTAATTTTAAGATTATATAATATCGGTAAATCATCTTAGATTAGGATCACTTACTCAAACCAGCTTTTCCCTCAATTCATCTACTAGACTGTTCGCTTCCAACTCTACATGTGTTCATAGTGCTCAAATTATATCCTGAAGTCCGAAATGCTATTTTAATGAGAAATTAGTAATAGATTTGAAGGTATATTGTGCAATAAAATGTCAAGATCTCACAATTTCGCTATAAAAAGTGTATACGCAGCTTAATGATAAACGAGGTTGCAAAATCGGCTTAGAGATAAAGATTTCTCAGAGCTTCCGAGACTCCCTATTTTCCATATTTATTCAATTAATTCAATCCTCGCAATTATAACCTGTGTAAAAGTAACTTCGGCACTCGTGATGCTCTATTGTGAAGTGATATTATAAGTCAATCATTCATGTATCAATGCTAACTATTAACTGGTGTATAAATTGAAATAAAATTAGGACGTAAACTGATGTTCTTCTAGCATCGATAGTGGTATAGATTATAATTTTTATTAGTGAGTCGATCTTAACATCGGATAAATTAGTAAATATTAATGTAGCCACTTTTGCATTTGTTGGTGATGACATTTTCATAAATTATTAATAGCATTTGAGCACGGTCATTTTTATAGTTGAGAGACTGAAGAGCAGCTATCCTTCGTGTCCATATGCAGCAACGAAAATGTCATAAATTAAGAGACCAACTTCAAAGTTAAGTTTCGCTTTGTCGTGTGGCAATTTTCTAATTTCGGTCATGGAGAACCGAATATAAAGGTATCAAAGAAGGGTAAACTATTCAAAAACTTTATTCAAAGATGAGATATGATACGACTAATCAACGCCACAGTTTTCGAGCAATTGCTAGTGCGCATGCGTCTTGCTTGTCGGGATAGCATATAATGAGGCAGCAAGACTTGCGCTTCTGCGACGTTTGAAAAAATATCTGTTTTATCTTGCTATCTCACTTACGCTCCACTGGAAACATTCTGCTTGGTTTAATATGCCTGTGAGAACACTATGCAATTATGTTGTATGCATGTGACCAGAATCTCATTTCTCAGGGGGTTGGAAAAAAGGTATTCTATGAGCACTTGTAGCCTTTCCGAGAATGGAAAGCACAAAAGATTGTTGAATGGGCACTCATAAAAATAATTTGGTCAGCCTAGGTCGTTAAGGGGGCTTTGATGACTGAT